CATTGTCACTTTCTATCACCTACCAACGATGTTCTCGTTCGGCCACCTGTATCTTTTCGGAACCGACTTCCTCTATTAGTGTGACATGCGCTATGAATTTGCTGACCCCCCCCCCCTTCTAACCCCTTCTTCTAACCTTCCCTAACCGGATCTGGAAGCTTTATCAGTGCACCGCTCGTCCCAAATGACTGAATCCACCTGCTCATCTGCGACTCTCAACCTTTCACGAAATTAGAGGTGCCCAAGAATGTGTTCCCTCCCCCCTTCTTGCAAAAAAAGATTGCTTTCCACGGTCGTTCAGCGCCTTCTTAAGAGATGTTTTTTTGCATGATGTCGCTCACGGACGGAAATCAAGTTTAATTTCCGCTGAGCGGTTCCAGAAATGCTTGAAAGAGAGAAAAATTGTGCTCAAATGCCAATTCAAACCATCACAATATGAACCGCTTGTAGCACTGTGTACTAACGGTGGCAGTCATAAAAGGAACAGTCTCCAGCTTCTCTCTTCATAGAACTTCGGCATCGTTGTTATTTGTGTGTAATTCTTTTGTGCCCAGGGTACAGCATCGTTGTGCGAAACCCATAGGGGGGTCGTACTTGGCCGCTGGGGAGGGGGGGTCGTAATCTCAAGGGTCACTCAGAGCCGAGCAATGCTTCGACATTTCAGTTGATAGTGGGAGTGGAGCTATGGAAGTCAAGATGTTTAAAAAAAATGAAGTTTATTATGAGTGTATTCTTTACAGCTTTAAATGCTACGTTTAACAGCCCTCTTTTCATGGGAAATCCCCAAGAATGGGTTCGTACTTGGCCGGGGGACGTGGGGAGTATCGCAAAAGTAGGCTCGCTAGGCATCAAACAGTACAAAGGTGTCATTGCTAAGGGTAATGGAACGGACGGAAAGCTTCAGAAGACCCGGATGTAAATAGGAATACAAAATAATAAAAGATTTATTAGCAATATAGCAAGAATAAATAAATAAATAAGTGTCAGTTTATAGCATGAACTCGTAAGTACGTAGATGACTAAATAATACGTCTCAAACAGATTCGTGCGTGTTGTCCTTTACAAACCCTAAACAAACATCTGCTTGCATGGATAAAAGCACCTGAAATTAGAATTTACACCTTTCCACCACCTCTCCGTAGGAGCCTAATGCACGGCGCACGGACCAAACCGATTAGTGATAGCCGATCTCTCTCTTCCACTCATTTGAAGGGAAATATGTATTTTGGAGGCACACTGAAAGGTGTATCCTCACAATGGCACATAAGGAGTCAATTTTTCGGGTGGTCCAGGGGGTAGCGCAAGGGTAACCCATCTAAAATATCTCCTGAACTAGTGGGTCTTCAGAAAAACCGTGAAGCTTGTTGGAAAGAGAAAGGGATGGAGGGTTTCAGGACGTTTTTAATCCTGATGAAATTGCGTTTGAACGAAGCAATCCTCGCGTGAAGCATGGAAACCAGCTCGCGATTTACCCCTAGCCTATCCAAAACCCATCCGGAATATTTCACCAACGGGGGATTGTTCAGTTTGCAACTAGGTAGAATACACAACAGTAGAAACTTTGCCGTTGCATGCTGCTCACCATTCCTCAAAAGCTCCGCACCTAAAAAAGATATAACCCCCGAACAGACCCCAGGACGTTGGCAAGTCCAACAACCGCGCTCCAATGACGTTTTTCCAAAGAAAGCGGTCGCAGCCTTGCGCCCTGCAGCCTGATCGATAATAGCCAAGTATGGAACGATTTACTGCCGGCCTGGTTATCCTTTTTTCATTTAGCTCTGCATTTTTTGTATTTTCCATGTTTCGCTTTGTTGTGTCGTGCATGTTTTCATTATTTCCCCGTCACCATTCATTGAATGCACATCTGGGCCCTGACACGCTCACCTTGGGGCTATTTTTTTCACCAATTCAGCCTATCAATGATCACCATTAGCCGCTATTTCAATTGTGTTTCTTTTACAAGTTGCATGTCATACATAGTTATCGAACGAGGAGTTTTATTTTGAATCCTAAGACAAAATTGTAGGTAATGCGAGGCTGTTGTTCAGCCTCATATTGCATGAGGCTGAAACAGCCTTTTATTTCCTGTATTTTAGAGCAGAGTGCGCCTTTCGAGAATCCAGATTCCATTTCAGGAAGTCATTTGTGGTGAACATGCATCTGGTTGTCAGTTAGAGCAGGGGGGGGGGGTCGTATCTGGACCCTCTTCGAGGGGGGGGGTCGTACCCACACCGCCATTTGACACATCCCCATGCTGTACCCTGTGTTGTGCCTACGAGGTTGACTGACGGCCTAACGTTTCGACGAGGACGACGATCTGGTCGAAACGTTAGGCCGTCAATAAACAGTTCCACCTAACAACCTCGTAGGCACAAAAGAATTACACACAAATAAAAGGAACACTTCGTAATACGTGTGAGAGGCACGGAAGACGGACCCGTACTGATGCTCACAGTGGTTCTATGGTGTCATCATTATGTGGTGACATTCATTTTCAGTGTCGGTGTGGGGTTAGATTCAGCTCCTTTTGAGAACTTTTTCGACTTTATATACCAAAAATTCATTTAATATACGAAAAACTGTTATGATGATCAGATATTCAGGGTACGACGTGAGGAAAGGAGTACTGTGAAGCAGTTACTTGCTGACGACTTCTTTACCCCGGAGGAGTTGATTGGGATTAGAGTGGAGATCAAAAATCGGGATCTAGATCTTGCTGAATTAAATGTTGAGGTAATTTCAAACCAGTCAACACCATTTTACACACTGAAGTTGGAGTTACCCCTTTTGAAAGTTTAAGTCCTCTAATCCCTCATACGTTTCAGATCCAAATGCAGTTGCGAGTTTATGATGAGAAGAAGCGGAAGCAATATCGCTTCAAAGAAAATGAAGGGTTGCAGTTTGCTTTCGACATCGAGAATGATACTGCTGAAGAGGTTCTGTTTCTACAAACTTCTTAATCGTTCGTAATACATTCGCTTCGCCATTCTGCGTTCTACTTAAGAAAATGTCTCGGCACTATTCGAACTATTCCTACCCCAAAAACTCAAAAAAATTTTTTCGCTGAAACGTTGCCTATAGATGTAGTTCGATGCCTGATCACGAATATCACATTCGTTTTGAGCGCTGGCGCCATTTGGCGCCATTATGCGCCAATTTGGCGCAACCACTTTTTCACCAAAGGTCGGTGAAAACCTGTATATGGGGGTTAAGATTAAGGTTTGGGACACATATCAAGTTATTGATGCGATCATGGATAAAGAGTTATTTCAGTGTCGTATTCGTGATCAGGACCTCAATTAATCCCCAGATACATTTTCATCGATTTTGGTGAGAAAGATGGTGGCGCCAAATTGGCGCATAATGGCACCAAATGGCACCAGCGCTCAAAACGAATGTGATATTCGTGATCAGGGCATCGAATTACATCTATAGGCAACGTTTCAGCGAAAAAAATTGAGTTTTTGGGGTGGGATTAGTTCACTAGTGCCGATTTCTCTTGCTACATACTTTTCACCCATAAGCTCGCCAGTTGGATCGGATTGACGCTGACATTCCTCCTGTGACTCAGCTTCCCACGCATTCTTTCGCTGTATTGGCATACGCGAGTAATGTCTAGCATATCTCTCACTTGTACACGGTTACGTGACAACGATAGGCCAGAGCGCAGAGCAATAAGGGACTGCTACTGCCAAGGCATCGTGAGGTACAAAAAAATGCAATGCGAGTTAAGGAGATGAGTGTTTTCGAGGGGAGGGGACACCAGATCAGTATGCGTGAAAAGTTGGAATGTGAAAGGTAAAAAAGCCGTAAAAAAGCCGTAAATCGCCATTCAAGAAAGAGAGCGCAGAGAAAATCAGAAAGTTGGCGCCGTTGAAGGAATTGAGTTTTAGTTGGCTGTAGACCCCTGCACACAATGTCAACGGTAGTGCTCCTTCCCAAAGTAACACCATTTATATCATACCAGTGAAGAAGGCAAGTTGGTTGTGAATCTCCGCCACTTTCTCATCAGTGACCGCTCTTTTTAGTACGATCAGCAAAAGGTGCGCCAATGGGACCCAACTGTGTTGAATCCCCGCCCATCCAGTTACCGAGGACTATCCATCACCCACCCTAGATACATCTCCGAAGTCGAAGTAGTATCCTTTCGAACAACCTGGGAACATTTCCAATCTGAACGGGAGATAATATGACACTAAAGCGCAGAAGTAGGAGCGCTGACGTTTGCCGTCAGTGCAGCGCTCTATAAGTTTCTGTGGCAAGCAATGATGATTGAAAGGAAGCGAGGATGAGGGTCAATTAAACTATTAGTTCGTTGCTCTCTGTAATGTTATGGAGCGAGTTGTCAGTCCTCGACTTTGACCCGCTCACCTCGGCACACGCTTCGTTCACTGTGGGTCTTATCCTCTCTTCTTGCCCCTTTACTCTTTGCTGAGTGACCCTTTCTGACTTTAATTCACCTTTTCCCGGTGTCTCGGCGGCTCCGACTCATGGAATTCTGACCTCTTTCCGGCCCGCCACGGTAGTGCTCATTCTTCTCAACCGTGGACTCCTTGGTGACATTCCGCTTTTCCCCGGTCTCTAGAGCGCTCTAGAAGCAAGCTGCAATTTCTTATAACAAGTACTTCATGACTATTCAGTCAGTACGTCACCTCATGAGGTGTTTGTTTTGAAAATTTTAAAATCGGGTGTGTCCCCTCATTTCGTCGATCAGTGTTGGTAGTCTGAGTCCTTTCTCCTCATCTCCGGGATTCTCTGGAGCCGGACTATGTCGTTTGTTAGCTACACTGCTTATTCTGTCGCATGCCACGCCCACTGTGGGCGGGGCTGGTCTGTGCGCTTTGTACATCTTATTTAACGCCCTCTACTTCTGTACATCTTGTCCAATGCCCTGCTAACCTCGACTCGACCTGTCCAAGTTGCTGCTTAGGTAAAACCGAAACTTGGGACAAGTAAACAAACAGAATTTGCAGATTATATAGGAATGTATATGGTTCTTCATGTATACACATGTGTGTACTGTTTTACTTCAAATGATGACACGCTTATTGATTCAGGTAGTGCAGCAGATGATTGAGCAACAGCACATTCCTGACGAGGATACTAAAATGATTACAAAGCTGATCAAGGATAAGGTAATAATAGCCGCGCTTTCATTTCTCTTTAATTTTCAATTAATTTAATTTAGGTGGAAAGCTTCAAGAGGGACAGAGAGTTTAAAATAGCGGAATTGAGGAGACAACGTGAAGAGGAAGAGCGTCAGCGGGAAGAACAAGCAATCAAGGAAGAGATGAAGGCTCGTGCAAAAGAAAAGGAACGCCTAGAAGCTGTAGTAGGTTCTACCATCATTTCACTGGAGTTGCTGTGGAATTGCTGTCCTGTACTACATTTTCCCGGATACGTCAACATCAAATGAAATCGTAGCTTTTGCATCCAAAATGTCATCAACGAGATTTTACGCTGATTTGCACACTTTCTATTATTATAGAGAGAATCCGCTACGTTAACATCCGCTACAGTCACTACTGAAACAACGCAGCCAGTTAGTGGTCAGCAACCCGTAGTCTCTCCTTCGGTGACTTCGTCTACGTTGTCTTCTGTGCAACAAACTACTTCAACTGTAGCATCTGCAATGTCTTCTGACAAAACTGGGCAACAGCATGCAACATCTGTGGTCAGTCCTTCTATTTTGTCCCTGTGCCTTTTGGTTGGGTATTTTGCCGGTGGTAGAAGAACGGTGACGGCTCGTTGTTATGTGAGCCGGCTCGGAGATTCGTAGTGATGTGGACCATGAGTCGGGCTCGATAGGCGGAAGTGAGGAGAAGAAGAAAGCCAAAAGAAAGATTGTTTTGGAAGTCCTGAAAGTCGATGATGCGAAGGATCAGCCAGTGAGTTCAATTCTCTCCAAAAGATTGCTCAATGACTTGGGAAATGCTCATGGGTTTTCATGTTTTGTTACAGTTGGTCTCTTGTAAGCTGGACACTGCACACAAAACCGTCACCTTTCAATTTGCTCCTGATTCTGACAAGCCGTCTGTGATTGCTGAAAAGCTTGTAAGTCAATTCGTTTCATGTTTTGTTGTGAAGAGTTCAGGGTGTTCCTTACCACATTGCTAAAACAAGTACCAATCTTTACGAGAAGTGATCCTTAGTAGATTCTTGGTAGGAATTGTCTTATGTCCCAAATCTGTCAGGATAAAAGGATAAAGTCTTCGCCGTAGGGGATGCGTAGGGATGCGGTACGCATTCTACTACCATTCAGAATCATAGCGGCTTACTGATGGTGAGTGCGATGTGGCCTATACAATGACTTGCACGGGCCGGTACAAGTCAGTGTTCTTATCCTCCCAGACGAATCTGGTACCAATTTACCGTCCCCGGAGGGTAGAAGGCTTGGTTGGCCTGGGATTTGAACCCAGGACCGCGCGAGTGGTAAGCGCGCCACTTGTCATTACAGCACCTCCGGCCTCAACGTTTTAGGATGTTTTGAATTGGGGAACCTTTTTTGTGATTCATGAATTACTGACTACTGATTGGCACAAAAATGATGAAGGTCCATCATGGCAGTACGATGAACTTCCATCATCGCAGTATGGGAGTCCGCAGCAGGTCAATCGATAGCCTATGACTTCCTTTCTCCAGTGTAGTATTAACAAATGACTTTGGACCGG